CTTCCGTGTAGCTAATGGTTGTATTCAAAAACCTCTTTTCTGGAGAGACACCCTGGTTGAGTCCAGCACTTTAACATGCGAGTTCTGTGCCTACAGCCAGACTATAATTATTTTGTCAGACAGGGGACTTCATAGCATACATGTTCATACTATCCCTGCTTGAAGGGATTTTCTACTAATGATTCTTAGAGGAGGGGGAGAGAAAAGGGATTATGTTTAAATACACATTATAGAACTGAGCTCATTAACAATAACATATCACAGCCATTTTTGGAACAGGCCTCTGATTACAGGAGAGATGCTGCAAAAGAATAACTGTAAAGTAGTAATAATCTGTGAGGAACAGCCAGTGAAAGTGTCTTTTCTAAATACAAGCTAACATATAACACAAGTACCACAAGATAAATCTATTTTTTCCTCCCAATGTACAGTTCATCCATGTGGTATTTGAAAGATATTCAAATTCTAAATACTAGTGTAAGATCTATCATAAAATGAGAAGAAAAAATGAAAAGAGTATTAAATTCTTACCTGGAGGTGTTCAGTACTCAGTTTTAAACAGGATTACATTTCAAGTTTGTTTGAACAACTCTATGAGCCTCTCCCGATTCCTTTGCTTCTCAAAAGCCTTGCTAGCAGGATTGTGTGCATGCCCGATTACATCAATGCATATGAATGTGTGTATTTATATAATTCCAATTTTAAGTTCTTTGTACTTTATTACCTTATTCAACTATTCCAGAATTACTGGTATTGTACTACCTCTCTTAAGGCTAGAGAACTTTACAGGTTGTCTTAAGGCTCTAGAAATCTCATGTTCTAAAACAAGTAATTAAAACAAACAGATCTAATCCTTATAGAAAAATAGGTTTATTGAGTAAATGCATGGGCAGGCATGAAAGAAAAGTCTGCTTGTACATTTAGTAGCCAGAAATGAAGAGCCTCATTTAGGTTTTTTGTGTTTTTTTGGTTTTTTTTTAAGTGAACGTCTAAGAAAATCATTTGAAATCTCAAGGCTGTGCTGTTCATTCTTATTTATTTTTTCCCCTAGCCTGATATGCGTGTTATGGTCTCTGTCTTCCTAATATTAGGTCCACCTCAAACATTCTCTGTCGAAAACAGAATCAAAAGAACATAGCAAAGTTAGCAATCAAAGTTAGATCCACATGCATCAAGTTAAAAAAAGGGAGAAGGGCAGAATTAAGCATGTCTAGTTGTCTCCCAGGGGCTCCCCATAGTTTGCATAGCGTTCATGGTCCGGGTCACTCAGCGCACTCCGCTTCTTGCCAGGAGTTCCAGCCCCGACGTCAGTGCGAGGGTAAGTTTGCAATTTGTGCAATTCTTGAGACAGTTTGCCCAGCACACAAGTACTCAGACTGGCACAGCGTTTGGAAATAGGTCTATCCAGGCTGCAGGGGGAAAGAAAACATGCCCAAAAGAAGAGTAGTCTCAAACATGCATGTTCATGCATTCCTTCCCTAGACAAATAACTACAGTTAGAGACAGACAAACAAAAAATTGAAAGAAAACAACCCCTCCACATCACATTCCATGCAAGGAAGGTCCATACAAAAGCACTCAGAAGGAATACACTATTCTTCAATGAATCCAGTAAAACTTCAGTTGAAAAAGCAGGTTGATTAGCCTTTTGGATGCTGGTAGTTAGGGGACAGGGATTTTTACTTTCAATATACTCAGCATGCTGTTCAGTCTCTCATTCATCATCACCATGCTTCGCAGTACGAGTCCTGTTAGAGTCACGCAATCGCTCCGGCATGCCTTTGCCCTACGGGGAGAGGGGTACTGCATGCCTTGGGAGGAGTACCTCGCTCCTGCTGGTGGCTCTCCATGCCCAACAGCAGCATGCACTTGCACGACAGAGAATCCAAGAGTGACTGAACGGCCCCTAGCACTCCCACTAGGGAAACATACCTTTCGCTGCCATATTTTAAACAACCCCCTCATTCGAGTTCAAATCGCCCTCCATTTTCAGTTGGGAGAGACAGCTAGAAGCAGGTTAACTAGGTGGAAGCCTTTCTCCTGATAGGAACAGGAATGAGAGGATGTCTCTGCAGCATCATCCTTTTCCAAGTCAGTGAACGGAGTTAGCCGTAACCCCAGAGAAGGAGAAGTCTTAGCCTGCAGAGGGTCGGCTCAGGTGGCTCTTGCTAGAGATTAGACGTGTAGCTCCCCTCACCCTCCTCCCAGCCCCAGGACCGCAGTCCTTACCTATTCCCCTCAGAGGCTTGCTCCAGCTCTTCTGCTGTCATCTGTATGAACTCTTTCACCAGTGCATTTAATAATCTCCGAGCTTCATAGTCACTTAGCATCACTCGATCTGTTACGGACTCTAAGCCAGGTCTAGGCAGAGACAAGCAAAACAGGGTAAATTATAACCAGGACTGCTACAGAGAACTGGACGTGAGAGGCGTTGTGTCATGCCTACTGTTGACAGTATCTTTCACAGGTGTGAATATAACACAGTGCATGAGCATGACATGCAAGTGTTCTATATATGTCATAAAAAACCAGCATCACAAGTAATATTAAAAGAACTCAGCTTTCTCATTTATAATAGTTCATTTTCTTAAATCTCTACAGATTATTAAATATTTTTCATGCCATTCAGATAAAGCGCTCAGCAACAGGACCAGCTCTTTGCTTCTTACCTGACCGGGGCTGCCTGGAAGCTGTCCATCTGGCACACAACCAAGGCATAGACAGCAAGGAAAGATGAAATCTTCAGCATAACCATGATTCCTCTCTACGATAAGGAAGTGCATCAAGCAATTACCATTTTTCAGCTCTCAATCCTATAAGATCTGCTAGAGGTCATCTTTTCTGACACACAAGTAGCACAAATGCTAATAGCCTTTTCTCATATTACCTTTTAGTTTCTTTTGATTCCTGATG